GGAGCTAAGCAGCATGGAGAGCACAGACGATATATCATATGTTAACCAGCAAGAAGCCATAGAAATTGATCAGATGTTGATGGGTCCTCTTGGTTTTACTGTTGATCAGCTCATGGTTTATCCTCTGATTTTTATTTTTATTGATTAATTTCTTCTTAAAGTTTCTCTTATCACTTAATTGGGTTTTTACTTGTTTTGAGATTAGGAATTGGCAGGCTTGAGTGTTGCCTCTGCAATTGGAGAGGTAAGTATAATATTGTTCCACCTGTAGCACCAGACTCCATGCGAAGTCTGCATTGATTTTCGACTATGGCGTCAGAGGGAAAGCAATATTATATATAATCATGGTTGGATGGTGCAGACTATTTGTCAGTTAGAGTTCATGTAGTTATGATTACAACTTTTCGATCAAACTAGACAGACTTAACCGATTTCATTTGTCACCTAGTTGAAATTTAAAGCATATATAATGGATTCAGTACTTGGAGTTCATGGGTTCCTACAATGATCTCAAGTCAAGTTGATATTCGATGATAACTGGGTTCACAATCAAATATTTAATAGATATTTAGTGAATTTCTATCGGGCTTGCCTAAACCTACTGGTTTATGTGAACCCAATGCTTCAAGGCTAGATCTCCCTTTGTTGTTGAATCTAGTCTAATTAAAGATCATTTGTTTGTGAGAGTGTTAGTTGAAGAAGAAATTGACATCAAAACATAGGGAGAACTTGGAATCAGTGATAATGACGTGTTGACAGAAAAGGCAGAACATATGTCAAGTGTATAAACAAGAAATAGCTTGGTTTGTGAAAGTATTACTTCTTTATTCTTTCCTAACCCGACCGTGGGATTAACAAGACTAAATGCATCTTATCTCTCCAGGTCTATAGTTCAAGTGAATATACTCGCGTGCTTGTTATATGTGGTCCTGGTAACAATGGTGGGAATGGTCTTGTAGCTGCTCGACACTTACATCACTTTGGTTATAAGCCCTCCATTTGTTATCCAAAACGGAATACCGAACCTCCCTTTGCTGGTTTAGTTACCCAGGTAGAGAATATGACATGAAATTCTTGAACCTCAATATTTTTAGTTTATTTGAGATGTTAATGGATGTGAGAATTTTGGTAGCTTGAGTCACTGTCAGTTCCATTCTTGCCAGTGGAAGATCTACCCGTGCAGCTTTCAAGTGACTTTGAAATTATAGTGGATGCAATTTTTGGATTCTCATTTCATGGTAATACTTCCTTCCTCAGTTTCTGCTTGGACATCCCCATTAGTTTTTCTCTTTGCTGAGAAGGCCACGACTGCTCTTGACTGCTACAGCTGTATACCAAACTTGTTAGTCTTATTATTAGCAAAAGTTGATTCAAATCATTCATTATCCACCATATAAGTGGGTATGCAGCATTGGAAGTAATTTGCTGTTGGTTCTTCATTTCTTAGAGATCTTGTATCCTTCCTATCTTTTTTTCCTTTTCCTTGGCATTATGTGGAATAACCTTAAGGTCTCCCAATTATATCCAGGTAACCCAAGGCCACCGTTTGATAGTCTCATTAGAAGGCTGGTCTCCATAAAAAACCAGCAGCGCACACATGAAAAAGCAGCTGTGATTATATCTGTAGACGTACCTTCCGGGTGGCACGTGGTAGAGGGAGACATTTGTGGTGAAGGCATTGAACCTGATATGCTGGTATAGAGTTGTTAAGTACTCAAATTCTATTGTTTTCATGCCTTTTTCTCGTTGATAATTCTGTTTTCCTTTGAGAATCAAGGGAAATACCTAAAGAAAACTTTGGACATTCACTCTGTAGGTCTCTTTGACTGCTCCAAAATTGTGTGCCAAAATGTTTTGTGGCCTGCATCATTTTTTGGGTGGAAGATTTGTTCCACGATCTATCATAGACAAATTCAAGTTAAAACTTCCACCATATCCCGGCACTTCCATGTGTGTTCGAATTGGAAATTTTCCAGAAACCAATTCATCAGCACAGAAAGGGATATTTACAGCTTCTGTAAATCTTGAGGTGGAGGAAAATCCTATTGATCAGGTTGAGTTGTATAAAGTATATCTAGAACTTTGACTCTCTTGTGGTAATTTTATCGCAAGTTTGTTAGATTATCTAGAAATGTATGCAAACTTCTTTTCATAAAAGCAATGCAGTATATTTATACTTGTGGCAATAAAGCCCCATTCTGATTGCAGTTTCACAAGTGGCTTGGTGATGCATCGGAAGCTGGTGTCAAAGAACCCCATTATATGGTCCTATCAACAGCTGGTAAAGATGCAAAACCGTAAGTCTTTCGAGATCTGCAAGTTAAATATAACAGTGATGGTTTGCCTGATGTTAACTGTACTATTTCTTCTTCCCAGTTCATCGCGAATGGTATCATTGGAAGGAGTAAACAAAGATGGTTTTGTCTGGTGAACTCCATAACTATTTCTGAATTATATATATTCTATTAATTGACATCCTTCTTGTTTCTGCAGGCACACCAACTATAGGAGTCGAAAGGCTCGTGAAATTTCTGAAAATCCTCATGCATCACTTCTCTTTTACTGGGGTCCTATAAAATGCCAGGTTAAAACAATTCCATCTTTAGCACTTCCTGCAATTTGACAGAGGACTAATATCTAGTGTCTATTAACAATTTAACATACATGAAAATGTCCAGTGATAGCTTTACGCATCCTATCCTTGATATGCATTCAATTACTTGAAAGTGATGTGCAGGATTGTGTTGGGTAGATGAATTGGGATGTATTTATGAACTACTATCTATGCACAATCAGAAATTTGTTGTTACCATTCCCTGGTTAGAATCCAAGGTTCAGTTTCCCTATGATAAAAATAAAATGTTAAGAGAGAAAGAAAGTGGAAGTCATGATTACTGGGCATACTCCCTTAAAACCTCAAATAGACATTTTCTTTATTGTCATTGCATTTATTCTCTGAGATATAATTCACTGACTGCATATAATGCACTTAGCATTAGATAATTGTTCTTGCTGTGCTTCATTACAAATTCATTTGTAGGTAAGAGTGGAGGGATTTGTGGAGCAAGTTTCTGATGAGGAATCTGAACGATACTTCTCTAGTCTTCCTCTAGATATCCAGATTAGGCCAATAGTTAGCAAGCAGGTTCGTGTAGTATTTTCAGCAACATAGTTTCTAGATTCCGATACTTTGATGTTTCTCGATACGTGCATCAACAGCTAGTTTCCAATCTCTTCTGCAAGTTCAGAGCACACTGATTCATGGACGAGAGATTCTCCATCATCAGTACAAAGAATTCAAGGAGAAGTACCATGACAGGTCAGTAATTTCACATATTGCTGGACATTCTTTCTTTGCTTGTCCTAATCTGTAACAAGCTCTGCTTTGGTTTCAGTATTCCATCTGTGCCTAGCAGAAGTATTCTATTGGTTGGGATACAGTTAAGATGCATTTCAGTTATGTGATTGTTGTCCCATGCTTAGAATTAGTGCATATCATTTTAGCATTTATATTTAGATCGAATTCTTCAACAGTTGCTTCTCATTGTTCGAACATGTAAAAGACGTAACTTTTGTGTATGCATTATTGGAAAAATGTCTGACCAAGACTTGTTGATTACAACCTAATCATACTTTGTTTTTCCTTTCTCTAAAGAAAAAATTGTTTTTTAGTCTAGATTCAAGTGAACCTCAAAGCAATCCTTTTCCCCTAACATACAGAACTTCAATAGCAAGACCCAAGCACTGGGGTGGCTACAGGCTTATTCCAGAATTTTTTGAGTTTTGGCAGGGAGAGGAATCTCAAGTTCTCCTCAAGTATGTCCAAACCCATCTTTCTTTTATTATTTCATCACGATAATTCCTACGAATCTATCAAATTGATCACTACTTAAATTCAATTAATCTGGAATCTGTACTAAGAAAGAAAAAAAATGGGTACTAAATGGGAGAACACTTGGACATACCTCTTTTAGGTGTTTCATATATTGTTTGGAATGGTTACTTGTATATTATTTTAAAAACTAGTTATAAAACCTCAGTCCAGAGGGTTGAAAGAACAGATCTCCAGCATCAATAGTATAAAAGGAGAATAGACTTATACGAGTTTTAATGGGACAATCCCTTTACCAGTAAAAGATTCTCTACAATATCTCCTACCAACTTGACTTAGTAGAACTGAAGCTATATTTCAACAGATTTACCGTTATAATTTGAGCTGAAATCCTTGATACTAATTGCTGTCAACTTATGATTTAAGTGTGCTGTTGTTAATAGATTTCGGTACTGTGTGGAGGAGATTGATGGAAGAAGAGTATGGACAATTCATAGATTGGTCCCACAGTTCGCAGAATCAGCATCATCATTATGACTTGCCATCTCTTTGAACTTAGCAAAAATGCACCAGTGCATGCATATGATAGGAAGCTTGCAATTAGATCTTTTGTTTTCCTGTTTTCCCTTCTGATTACCTTCTTTGGATAGGACATTGCACTTGGGAGGTGATATAATATTTCTGAGGGTGTATGGGAGGTATTGCCAGAAATTGTTTACTAACTCCTTATCTCTTTGTAAGTAAGTATCTCTGCGCTGATTTCCATAGTATATCCCTTCTAGTTCTGTTTCAGATGAAGATTGTGTTTTCTTTCCTTTTCCTGTTTTGCTCATTAAAAATGGTTGGAAAATTGGGTCTCTAGGTCAGTCTCAGGTTCAATTCCCAATTGACAAAATAATAGGTGTGATCTCTTACCAGCCTCGACAGACAGAAATACTTGGTACCTATGTTATGGTGGGAGGTAGCAAGTGCCCATGTGGAATTAATCGAGGTGTAGAAGTTGGTTCAAACACCGCAATTATAAAAAGGAATTGGTTCTTCATCAGGGGCACATTTCTTGAGCATCCAAATGGACAGGTTAGGTCTTCACTCCAATAGACAAATAAACTCAAACATTGGCAAATTTGGAGCAACTATGCTCCAAATTGAGCTGAGCAATAAGTTGATCTGATGGCAAAGGAATAGAATGACTGTTCAAAAATTAAGTTAGATAAGGTCATCATGGGGCTGTGGATTAGAGTTTCTAATAAGTTTATATGAATGAGTTGATTAGAGTTTCTAATAAGTTTACCAGATACTGCAAAGGTTGGTAGCCCAAAATTAACCTGCAAATTTGATTTTGAATTCACCGAACGCATCAAAATGGATACATTGGGGGTATGCAAATTAACGAGGCAATAATAGCCCTAATTTATTACCTCTGTTTTGCCATAAAGCATGTCAATCCTTTCAAGAATCACTATTAACCAAAAAGATATCGAAAATGTACATCAAATTACTGTTGAATGCAACGAGAAAGTGCATTCGACCATGTCTAGTTTGTAAAGGCAGTTGACTTCAATGTCCTGTTCTTATCAATAAAGAACATATCAAGAGATCAGCTGAATAGGGTTCTTCCCAGCAACTTCCAAGTACCATGATTTCCATGCTTCCACATAATGTGCAAATAGATCTTTCAGTGCTGAAACATAACAAACGGACAAGACTTGTTTATAAGCTCAAGTACATCGAATAATTTGTCTATACTGCTTTGATAATATGTCAGCATAGATAAGAAGCTGAGTCAAATAAACAGTAAGTGCAACCTACAAAAGTTTGTTTCACATCTTACGTAAAAGATGATTTGGTTAAAAAACATACTAAACGCGTCTATATCATCATATGCATCATATGGAGCAAATAACCAGTCAGCAGAGCGATTTGAGAATAGACCAGATATATATCATGATTGAATTACCTGTTTCAGTGCACTAGAAAAAGAAATTTAAACATAATAACCCATACCCTGGTTGATGATAGGTCACATTAAAAGAAGCTTACTTGCTGTCAAAGTTAAAAGAGTAACTACTTCAGACTCTCAATGTGGCATTCCTAAGAAAAGGGAGGGACACACAACATCCAATTAAAATGACATTTTAAGGGTTGAGTTCAGTAAAATTATAAAAGCTTCTTAATAAGGGTAGATCTGTAGACAATACTTTCTGTTTCTGAATTGATTTGCCTTCTAGTATTTATAATCCTCTGAACATTTATTAATTGAATCATACTAAATTTGAGAGGATGAAATTTCAAGCGAAATGAAACTCATCATACCTTGGTTGTGATATTGAGGACGGTAACTGGAGGCTAGACTTTCCCAGTCATGAACCCGTTTCATTCTGTCAGCCTCAGAAACTTCAGCTTGAGGTACGGTTGGAGGAGCAAATGGACCAAAGTGGTAACTCTTTTTGCTCGCTGTTAAACCAGGCTCCTGTTTAGGAATGTGAAAAGCATTTTCTAGGTTCTCACATTTCACTTCAGTTAGCAATTGTTTTCGAGTTGCTTCATCTGAAATACCATCCATAGGTAGAGCAACTCTGTTCCTCTTGATAGTTGTGTTTGTAAGCTCAGTCCCAAATACCCTCTTCTTGGACTCAATAGCACAAAAGGCATCAACTGATTTATATTCTGATCTTCCTCCAAGCCCCAACCATCTAAATGCAGGTTTCCTCGTCTCTGGATGATGGGTCTACAAGTCATGCGAGCAGCACTATTAGTGACTAGAGTTTCTTATACAAAACTTTACCTAGATAAAGGGTTAAATTTCCAGATTTTGTCTTCCTGATGAATAATTACTTGAGGATAATTACCTTCTCAATATATTTCATCGAAGACAAAACATTTGCGATATCATACAGCCTCCTAACTTTTGCTGCATAGATAAGAAGGAATAGCATTACTTGAAGTAGCATAGATTGGCAGCACAGTTGAATTATAAGAACTAACAGTTTGTGCATTAGTAGTTCAGATTACTCTTAAGCAAGAAAAAAAGGTGTAAACTTTTTACTTCTTGTCATGGCAGGAGGCCTCCCATCTCCTAACAGTATCTTTGCTGCCTCATCAAGGCAAATCATGTCAACCTGAACAGAATCATCACAAAGATTTAGGGTCTGATGAAAGCAAATTGAGAAACAAAGTTGTACACTTGAAAGTTTTTTACTTACATTGGTGCAGAGGAAGAGCTTCACAAAATTCTGTGTAAGCAGTCCCAATGATTTTTCTCTCCTATTTTCTGTCAATACATAGCCCAATATCTCAGAAATTAGTCTCAAAGTATCTCTATTTATCACATCAGAATAATTGAATGGCAATTTACAAATACCACTTGAAAGAGGGGAAAGGGAAGCAAATTTACCAGATTTAACTGGCGCTGCAGAGTTGACACCAGAATTGGAGCTTAGTTTATCAGTCTGACTCGAAGTGATTAGGTTGGAATCTCTATCATCATCATCATCATCATCTGAACCCTGAGATTATGGAGCAAAAAGATGGAAACTCTGTTATCTTGTTAGACATAGGGCTAAACCAAGCAATATTCAAGAACGAGAACCACCAATTACTTACCTTGGCAGAGCTAGATCCATCAAATCCACTGACATTCTCTTTAAGACCCTCTTCCTATCCAATTATAAACACAATTTAGCAAGCCAAAAAAGTGTCACAGATATAAAAGTTTAAACTTGTGTGTTTACCTTCAACTGTTCCAAAGTCCTCGGAATTGCTTCTAACCCTTTCCATGAATACCTGTTCTTAGCCTTCCTAGCAAGAACCTAAATTTACAAAAACCATAAGTTTTAAAAATAAAAATAGAATCTTTTAATTCAAAAACCAAAAATTGTTACGATATTCCAATTAATAGATCTTACACCAATGCTTTCCAGTACATTCACAATATCATAGATCCGCCGTCTTTCAACCCCTACATAGAAATCCAAAACAAACCCATAAATATCAATCCAAATCAGACCCTCAACAAAAAAAAATTCAAAAAAATCAAGGATTATATCAGTACCCAATCTCCGAGCAGCATCATCAAGCCCAATAGTTTCCACACCTTGTCGATCATACAAGCTCAAAAAACTACACCCAATTCACAAAAACACTCAAAAAAATCAGCAGAACTTCAGATTAATTCTCAAAAACATCAAATGCATAAAAGGGCATAGAAAAACACACACTTTGAACATAAGAGACCAAGTGATTTCTGTTTCCGACAATAAGTAGATCTGGATTCTTTCGAAGGATCTGAAGCTAAAGCCATGATTAAAAAAAAAAATCTTTCGACGCAACTCCAAAGAAATTCAAACAATGTGTTTATTACAAAGCTCTTTGCTGGAAGAAAGAGAAGTTAAATGGAGAAGAAGGAGCCGTTAAGAGAGGGTTTGTTGAGTTTGGCGGGGTGAGAATAAGCCATTGGAGGGTTTTTGAAAGTTTGAATTTCAGATTCTACAGCGGGAACTTGGGTTTTCTTCCCTAGATGGCCGCGCCTATGAACACTGAATTGACGATTTTGACCTTGCGTATTGATCCCACGGTCCACGCTTTTGTTGGAGGTTATATTTGGAAATTCACAGGGAACATGAGAAATGAGAAATCTGATGATGACACATGCATAATCACGTGATTAGATTTGTTCTTTAGTGTATTATATAAATATAATATAAGTAGTAATAATTTAAAAAAGCTGCCTTCTATTGAGGAAATAAATATTTTAAAAGGTTGTTTGGGCGCCAAAGTGATGAAATTTTGGTCACAAAATTAGTGCTGCAATTTTTAGATACATTAGGAAAAAAAACGACAATATGATTAACTAGAATAATTTCTTCTTCGAGCTTTGTTCATGTGTGGTCAAACAATTTTTCTAATGATTTTACAAATTTATGTGTTTGCCTGATAACATAAATATTCAGAAAACGAACGCATGAAACAAATTTATTTTTATTTGCATGCATAGTTAGAAGTCTAGAAGTAGTATTGGTTAAAATTAGCTATAAATTTAATGTTTCGTAGCCAAGTATTAAGTAACACTTGCTGCTACGACATATTTTTTGATTTGGCTATGTTGGTTACCTAAAAATTGCAAAGGTAATAAGATTTCAATGATGGCAGGGGGCGGAGCTAAAAGAATTATTCGTATGGTTCTATCTAAACCTGATAGCTTTGATTTAAATCTTGTACGGTTAAAAATGCACTAAATAAGCATAATAATTGATTGCAAACACAGTAAATCGAACGAATATTGGTGGAACTAAAATCTATAAACTTCAAACATACGCGGATTTTGTTTTAATTGGATGTCACTGTCATTATTGTGTTGCAACTTGCGTATATATCAACTAGTTCTCGGAACTTGCATTGCACGTTTGTCCTCTAATTGATATTAGAATAGTTATTTTATATAGCTAAGTTAAAATCTAAAGTCCTTTCATATGTAAGTTTAACATAAGAATATAACTCTGCACAAAATATAATATGAAAATCTTGTGTTAGATGTTGGAGGTTTGATATTTTAAAAATTTCATGAAAAATAAACGTTTTATTATATTAGAGGAATTAATATATTTTAATTGCAAAACATAAGTTTTAATAATCAAAAAAGAAATTGTCTATAAAAAAAGATACATATAAAGAAAAACATTACAACAATGTTTGGGCGGTATATCTTCAAATTTATAGAAAAATGTACAATTTCAAACGAAAAAAGAGAAGTAAATAAAGACATGACATCCATAATAAAAGACATCACATTAAAACATATAGACAAAAATATTTTCATACTAATTGAATTACATTTTGTTAGAAGTCGACATACTGTAGACAAAACATATCATATGTATAAAAAAACTATAATCATAAGATAACAATAAAAAAGATAAACAAAAAAGAAAGCATAAATATGTTAAGAATAAAAATGCGCTATATTTCTTTGAACTATATATTAAAGGATCTTTATTTATTTATACACATATATAAAAAAATATGAATTCTAAAACAATATTTTCAATGTATCATTTAATTATTTTTTTACTATATATATATATATATATATATATATATATATATATATATATATTAATTTTTACTTTTATACTTATTTTGTACCTCTATGTAATAGTTAAATACATGATTTTTTTAAAACATTTGAGATGAGATATAAAAAGGAAAAAGTACAAATATGTTATTTTAAAAAGATAAATGATTATCAAAGAATGAAGAAGACATAACGATTGTTTTTTGGGATTTAACATATTTACCCTCAAAATAATTAATAATAAATACAAAATGAGATTAGCTTTACTATATATTCTAAAGATAGAAGAAAGGATGAACACAAAAAACAGTAATCAATTACGAAGTTATATTTAAAAACTCAAAACGATGGAGATATTAAAAATAAAAATTTACTTACAACTTCATATATATTGTAGTATATTCATCTTGTAACTATCATAATTTACATATTTCTCGGCAAAAAGAAGATGAAAATGCATGATATTTTAAAAAATACGAATAAATAAAATAGTAAGAATTCTTATAATTACAAATTGATAATGAAAATTTTACAACTAATCTAGTACCTACTCTAGAATGCATGATGAGAAGGAATATAAATAATGTGGTGTGAATGTATTTGATAGATTCTTCATTGGCCCCACTTAACTTACAAATTAAAATTGATTGGTTATTAGACTCTTCATTACCTATATTTAATTAGTACATGAATATATGATGCATTAAGATCTTGTTTGATGCATGAATTTAAATATAGAGAAAAGACATAAAGTGACACCTAAAGTTGTCCCGAATTTTTAATAAGACACTTTAACTATATGAGTGTCCTATTACTCCACGAAAGTAGGAGATATTTTTGTAAATACACCACTTTGACCCGTTTTCTCCCTATGTTTGTTTTCACGCAAATAATGCGCGTGAATGATAGATTTTTCTTCCAAAGAACGAATTAACAAGTGACACGCGTCATTTTTTAATCTATTATTTAATTCTTTCCTTTTTAAAGTACTCATCTTCCCCAACTTTCCCCCATTCTTTCAAATGAACCATTTTTGACAATTGTTGCTTTTATTCCATATGGTCTCCTTGTTGCCTCTTGTTATACTAATGAAAAAAAATTCTTTTCTCTTTAATGAAGGTACTGCCGAAGTGAATCTTGCCCAAGCTCGTAGATAAATACTTCGAAGCTGGCAAAAAGGGTAAGGCAAACTAGAGCTTCATTGAATCAAATTTGATGAAAGGTGTGAGGATCTTGGTCCTTCTGTAGAGACTTTCCCTTTTTTTTTCAAATTCTTTTCTTTTTTTAAAATTGGTGATTTTTTTTTGTTTGTCCGAGTCTTTTTAACCCAAGTTGTAATTTTTTCTCAGCTAATTTCCCAAGAAATTGACCAACAAATGGCAAAATTGAAATAGATGTAAACTTCAAAAGAAGTTGTAATTGAATTGCAATTGAGAAAGAAAATAAAACATAAAGAAAGAAAGTGAGAAATTTAGAGAGAAGAAAAGAAAAGAAAGTGTACCATTTATCTTTTTAACGATTTGGATCGGGTTAAACCTGTACTTAATTGATATTTAAATTAAATTAATTAATTAAAAGGAGAGTGTGTCTCACGCGTGTGAGGTTGATGAGAAAATGAGTCAACATGGTCAATTTACAAAAATATTTAATACTTTTGTGGGGTAATAAGACATTTACATAGTTAAGGTGTCTTTTTAAAAATCTGAGACAACTTCAGGTGTCATTTTATGTCTTTTCTCTTAAATATACTATAACTATTACTTAATGTTCAATTGATTAAATAGATACTAATATTAATTTATTTTAGGGATAAAATAAGGACAAAAAGATAATTCAACTTTGAGGTTAGGAGTTTCCCACTTATAATAATATATAAATAAATAAATAATAATAATAATATAATAATATATGATGTATAAATAAGAAGTAGAGAATTATCTGGTGGAACCAAAAAGGGACACTTTTGAGATTGTTGGATGAAATTGTGCACCACAATCTGCACAATTTGCAAGTCAAAGTCTCAAAATTTCTCCTTAGCAAAATCTTGATTACCAGTTAATAGAGGCCATTTAGGAGATTGAAGGTAAATCTTCGAGGACGAAATTCTCTGTCAATAATTTCCCAGCCAGTGGCTTCTTCGTCGTCCTCTTCTTGTCAGCACCAGCTGCACTCTAGTAACTTCTTCCCTGCCATTGGCTTCTTGTCTGCTGATGCTATTTCAGCTTCTTTCTCCTCTGTTGCTGTTGGTTTCTGCTGTGCTAGCTTTTACTCGGTTTTTGGTACCTTTGAAAGTGAAATTTAGAATCAGAAAATGGGTTTTAGAATAAAGAAAATAGAAGATTTCTAGCTTGCAGATTGATGAGTTTGTATTGGTTGTCAAGTGTACACAGTTTTAAGAAAAATAGGGAACCACATCAGCCTATCTCATCACAGCAAGTTTACATTCTACAGACAGGTTGATTAGAAACACTCAGCTAAAACAAAATCGCAAAACAAGTCCAAAAGGTAAACAGATTTAAGAGAACTACTCCAAATAGAACTGAATAAAATTGGATTAAAAATCTATTAATATGCATGAATTCTCTTGTATCATGTTTGAAAGGGCTGTAGTAAATGCAGTGGAAGCTAATATATTAGGAGAACCTGTTGGCTTCGAGTATGAAATCCTGTAGTGTTTCTATTCTTTTATAATGATGCTGAAGCCTGAAGCATTAGTTGAGGTGGGATGGGAAAATAGATCTCATCTATCCTATACACATTGCATAAACATCAGGAGTTTTAAGTGCTTTTCGTGTTTCACAATAAATGTCAAAGATTGGCAATTCAAATGTTCTAATGAGTCGCTATATATCCTACAGCTTTTAGTTGTTGAAAGTAACGATCACAGGAAAAGGGACTGCCTGTCTATGATCCAAGCACAGCAATCCACTGATGCATAAATTGCACTTCATGACAGACTGAAACTAAAAGGCAGCTATCCCGCAGCAATACGGGCCAACAACCTTAGGTAAGACGGAGAACTGGCTTATTAAACACCTTAAGGAAAATTAGAAAGAAATTGTCACTCCAAATAGATGAAATCATAAATGAAACAATTTTGACAATTATAAAGTTGCGGGACTTGAATTGACGCAAGATAGTTAATGATCACAAAAAGATGAACACAAGAATTGCTATCTTTGCATAGAGTTATATGTCCTTGTTGTTTCAATCAAAGACTGCAATCATAGAAAAGGAGTCCAAAAACGCAAAGAATTTAAAATGCCAGCGTGTTCAGCAACTAGTTTCTTTGGGATCAAGCAGGTGAAGAGAGCACATACAAAACTTGACACAGAATTAAATTTTTTATAGAACAGTTTCCCCCCTTTTGGGGGTAAAAACATCATCAAAGAGGTTCATCAACTTAGAAATTACGAACTTATATTGTTAAACTTAAAACAGCAAAGGTTCAATAAAATTTGCGGGGGGGTTGCTAGGACTAGGGGTGATTCAGTAAATGTACAAGCCCACTTTATTTTCTAACCTCCACTTTTCCTTCATCAAGAATTAAGGAGGGAAAAATATACCTGTATACGTGGATGTGATTTTAACTGGATGTTACTGTCCTTTCTCTGTGGCGGATATATCAATACCAAGAAGTAATAAATTATCTAATACAAGTTAAAATGGGAACACTTTGAGATGCACCTCCTTCGAGTCATGGGCCACAGTCAGAGTACCCTGCTAAACAACACAAACCCTTATCAATGCCAAGTCTCTGTGCCCATGAGTTGCTGTATAAGGATAACAGTGTGCTTTTTAAGTTATTTTCATCTATGAAGCTCGGACTCTTTAAAAATGCTGACGGGTGCATGTTAGATCTTTCCAAAGTTGTGCATGTTAGGGTCTACCACGGTACAGCAACATTTTTGGAGTCTGAGCATCACAGATTTTCATCTCAAATTCTTCACATTCATCATACTTATCCACATCTTACCACACTATTGAATTTCACGAGACACGACAAACATGCTCATGAGCTGCTGCATAAAGATAATGGCATGCTTTTAAAGTCATGTTCATCTCAAACTCTTCATGTTCATCATGCCTGTCCATGGCACGTGACAAACCCATCACAGATTTAGAGCTTTACTGTTTCATTAGGCTTCAAAAGGGCAGTAAGTTTGATATCATACCTATGCTGTTGTGCTCACAATTTAAAATGACAGGGGAGGCGGCCAGATTTGCTTACCAACCTCAAAATCTCCTTTGCAAAATCTTGATTACCAGTTAGCAAAAGACCATTTAGGACCCGGTTGAAGGTAAATTTTCGAGGAAGAAACCCTCTGTCAACCATTTCAGTCAATAATTTCCCAGCCACTAATAGATCATCTGATTTCTTCCTCACAAACATTGCACTTATCAAGATATTGTATGTGTCCAAATTAGGTAAACAATGCCCGGTACTCATCCTCTCAAACACCCTCAGGCTCTTCTCAATTTCCCCTTCATCACAATAGTATCGGATGACAACATTATAAGTCTGAACATTTGGTTCACACCCATCCTCGTTCATCTTATCCATATACTCCATAGCATTGTCCATTTTTCCGACATGGCACAATCCCCTTATAATGGCATTATAAGTTGTGGCATTCGGCAAATAACCTTTCCTCAACATCTCATTGAAAACTAAAATAGCATTTTCGGTACTATCTTTCTTACACATAACTTGTATCAGAGCATTATAAGTTGCAATAGAGGGAAGTATACCAGCCCCCACCATCTCATTGAACAACTTTTGAGCCTTCTCAACCTCACCCGCAACACCAAACCCGTGAACTAAAGTAGTGTAAGTCACGACATCAATATCACATTTCCTCTTCTTCATCTGCAAAAAGAATTCCCAAGCTTCCTTAATCTGCCCTGCTCTAAAGAACCCATTAAGCATTATATTATATGTAGTTATGGTCGGATTAAGACCTCTCTCTACCATTTCTTTCAAAATTTCCTGTGCTTTGGGTGTCCTCTTAACTAAACAAAACCCATTCGCAAGTGTATTATAACTAATTGTATCAGCTTTAAACCTGCTCCTAAACATCTTGAACAACTTAAGAGCCATCTCGGCCCGTTTTGATTTGCAAAGCACGTCGAGAAATGCATTGAAAGAACTCAAATCTTGAGGGCAACCATGTTTATGCATAGACAGGAAAACATTCACAGCTTTATCAGCTTTCCCAGCGGAGACATACCTCTCAGTGATGATAGCGAATGTCTTCGGGTTCGGGCCAAGCCGCCGAGACTGCATTCGGGCCACAAGTTTCCACATAGTCTTGTAATCGCGCATCCGAGCAGCGATGTCAATGGCGTGATCGAAGGCTATGGTGGAGTGAGTATACGAACGGTGGTGATCGAGGAGGTTGAAAAATTGGAGGGCTTTCGGGCCGTGGTTCCACAGACGCTTTAGTACAGACTGGACGAGGTCCGGTGTCCATTGCGTGAGGGTGTGAAGGGTATCTGATAATGATTCTGGGCTGGATTGAAGTATGAGGGTGGAGATTACGACGGGGTCCGGTGGTAGCTGTGACGGCGGCAGTGGTTGCGACGGTGGTGGAAGAGTGGCGAAGTGGCTGAGGGTGGTAGAAATGGGATTCAGCGGTACTATGAGGGTTCGGTGCAGATTCAACATTTCACCGTTCTCCGGACTATGGCGCTAAGAAGTTAATAATTACAAAGAAGTGTTACCTAATAATTTGTATTTTACAAGCTTTTAAATTTTGTTAATATAAGTAAAGGATCTTTAAATATTTAGATAGTCATAATTTTCTAAAATATTTTTTAAAATTTGTTAATATGAGAATTGATCTTTCCAAAAAAAAATAAAAAATAATAATAATAATAATAAAATTAAAAAAATTGATCTCTAGTCCTCAAAGTCAATTAACTCAACATTCAATGATATCATATTTGGGAAAATTACAAGTTAAGCAAGTATAACCTTCGTCTAATTTTAATTGGAATAATTTTTATTTTTTGAGTAAGATAATAAGAAATTTAATTAATATTTTATTATATATTTTTTCTATGTAAGAATTTGGATTTGTAATATTTTTTGTAAAGTTTTTTAATATTCATATTTTTTATTTAAAATATTAAATTAATATAATTTAATTTAACTTTAAAAATTAATCATATTGACTTTTAAAAAGCGCAACATGACAATTAAAAGTGAACAGATGGTGTAGTTAATTAGTCATCGTAGCTATAATTTTAGTTAAATGAGGTTTATTTTACTCATTAATCTTATTGATTATGATTTAGAA